AGCATACTTATATGACTAATTTATTATGCATTTTAGATTAAGGAGAAATATGTACCATTTCACCACAGAACTAATTGTGAAGAACATGCTCCTGAGACATTCCTGCTTTCCCACATTTTCTATTTTTCTAATTAGTTAATCTAACTAAGTGATTAGATTAGTCAGAGACTTTAAAATGGGAATTTTAATCTGGTTTTAACTGAAGCCATCCCTTGTTGGTGTCTCTAGTGCTTGAACATATGTGGATTCAGGAAATCTGCATTAAATTTCTCAAATGATTTGTTTTGTGTTACTAATAGAGACCTCTCTTTTTAAACTCTCTTTATCATTGTATTGAGATAACTAAAATTCCAGTAATTAACTGATTTAAATGTAGCTAATAGACAAATATATATATTAGAACTGTTTGCATGACATGGCAGCTCACCATGGGTTATTTAAGGCTGCAATTTAAGGTAAAGGTTAACATGTGCAGGGAGTGCATGGCTGCCATTTTGAATATGCTATCCTTGCTCAAGTGTTGTCATTTGTGCAAACCCAGTAAGCCTGGATTGTATGAGGTAATATACTGTCTGGTATTAAAGCCTCACATAACGCAAGGTTGCTGGCTTCACGCAATAAATACAACAACCCCCATGCAGGGATCAGATATGTAACTTGGCAGCCAGAGGCACTGCAGCTCATTGTAAGTTAAATAACCTGGTCTTAGCAGTATGTTTAAATAAGAGGACATCTTTATTGTTGAAATCAAAATAGTACTTTATCATTCATAGGTCCTATGTTTTGTGAATTACTGTAGTAAGTCTTCAAGTATAATAAAACTGCTAGTGGTTATTAAATTGTGTTAGCTTTAAGAGTTTATCTGTTCTCACGGACAGTTAATATGAATTAATGACACATTAAATAAAGAGCTCAGTCCCCTCTACTCTGCACTGTGCCATCTCCCACAGGCTGCTGAGTGTGCAAGTTTTTCGCTATTAACTCCCTGTCAGCAGTGAAGGGCTGACAATGAGACAATGAGGAGAGAGCAAGAATGGAGCAGAATTCCATGCCCTTAATAGTTCATATATACTTCTGACTAGATTGGGCCCAAACTGTTTTTATGCTGCCTGATAATGTTATAAACTTGATTTTTGCAAACAGATCTAACTTAAGTACATTATATAAAACAGTCAACTTCCTTCATCCTGTTTTTTGTTATGCTATGCTATGAAAATAAGTGATACTATTGTCAAGATACGATATGCTGTCAGGGTAAAGTAAGATGATTACTTAACCTTCTGTGTTTGATTTTGAAAAATAAGTTTGTATTGGTGTAAAAGAAAATCAACCTCATGTTGGTACTGCTTTGGAAACTTGAACACTGCTCAGGCAGGGGATCAAAGTGGTCAAATGCCCAGTAGATGAGTAGTTGACTGGCCATGCCAACTGGACCTGCAGCTGTTCCTTACAGCAGACATAAAGTAAAATAATTGCCTAAGCAGTGCTAGCACATCAGTATTTTTTCTTGTGACACAGGATTGACATGCTTAATGGCTTTTCTGATTAGCCTGGTATGTGCCAAAATTTCCCACTGTTTTCTAAATTAGAAACATAGAGAAGTTGTATTTACTTTATCACCAAAATGTTGAAACACATTTTAGACGTCTTTTATGTTTAGTGAAATAACATTTTGACATTATACTCTCCATTAGTAGGATTTGTGACCTTGTTTGTTCGTTTTGAATTATGATATATTATGTGTATTTGAGCCATTTGAACTCCAGATTAGTAAAACTGAATTAAAAGAATTGTCCCATATAAAACCAAGCAACATCATTCATTGACTCACTATTTTATTACTCTCACTTAACGTTGTAAAACATTAATGCAACAAGTTTTCAGTAAAACAATACCTTGAAATGTTACTCATTTGCAAAAGTATCAGTTTATATATTGTAATGCATACTTTCAGTCATCTCTACTTTTTCTCCTGACTAAAGTCTATCTAGTGAAATTTGAGAAAGGTTAGTATATTTATAAAGGACAGAATACAAAAAAGGGATTGTGGAAAATTGGGTAGAACTTTTATAGTGCAATCCCACAGCTGCTAGATGCTGCCAAGGTGGCCATAAGAGACTATGGAGTCCTAGCTCTGACCTTGGAAACTGGATTTAAAGTTGGAGTGCTCTTTCTTTGCCCTCACAATCAGCATGGAAAAAAACCATTACCAGCTGTGCTTTGGTTGCAAGAGCGACCTTGGTGGGAGGGAAGAAAGGGTCAGGCTCTGCCAGCATATGTGGTATCCTAGTGGTGCTTCAGGGTCCACTCTTTGTGCTCCAGGTTAAAAGAGTTAGATGGCCAAGATTGGCTAAGTCTTTTGCAGGACTGGAGAAGAATGAAAGTGAACTTTGCTTTCATGCTTGTTCTATCCTTCACAGGATTCCTGTAATCCTCTGAGTTATGAGTGTTATGGGCAGCGGCATTGGATTGCACAGCCCCTGTCTGAAATTGAATAGTGTAAGTTAATTGAAACCAAACATGAAATTTCCTTTGTGTTATATAGTAGAATATATTTCTATTATAACATTTTCTTTCAGATATAATGTTAATGTGTAACTAGATTTTTCATAGAGACTGGAATAAATCATTGAATTTTAGTCATGTAGAGTGGGATTTTTTTTCCATTTTTTCCTGTTCAAATAGAAACATTTTTCTTGTTTTACCCTGTAAAACATCAGAAACTAGCTTCGCTGTTCCCTCTGTTTCAGAAATGTGGCATGGAAAAGGTTAGGGTGCGTGAAGCAAAGTTGTTGTCCACTTTGTTGAAAGGAATTTGTTGTACTATTTTTTGGTTCAGAGCCCCAGTAAATGTAAAAGTGAATTGAAGACTTTTTAAATGGCATGCTTTGGGGACATGTCTTTATCGCCTCAATAATTTTTGATAACTTGTGATAGTCATATTTTCTTCTGCTGCTTTTTCCATTCCAATAACTGATTCTGCATAAAGTAGAAAACTGATTGGAAATATGGTTTGATGTTTTAAAGTGAAAACATTTTTTTTCTTTCTAATTTTCATGATTTGTCATTAAGAGCCTTGGCAGCCAAATATTTTAAGCTAAAATTCCATGCTCCAGCATGAGAATCAATAATAAAGAATTGCCTCTGTTCCTTGATTGTATTTATGAAATGTGCTTCTGGACTACACGTAATAGAACTTATGTGTGTAAGTGGGCAGACTTGCATCCCCAAGTAATTACAATACTGGCAATATAAAATGCTAAGGAAATTGAAAGCCTTTCTAAGAAGCTAAGTCTGTAGTGCTTTCTATTGTTTACTTGAGGACAGTAGGGATAGGAACAATTTAACTGAAGAGGATATTAGTGTCTTCAGTGTATCTTAAACTAAAGTGTATCTTTAGTAATGTGTGGTGTTGGATTTTTGTTTTGTTAGAATACTAATGAAAGATTTACTTTCCTAAGATGAACTTTCCTAAGCTTTCAGTAAATTTATGAGTTGACTAATTTAAAAGAAGAAAAGGCTATGTTAATTGAGTAAGCTAATTAAGAAGGCAAAGAAGAGCAGGAAGAAGCAAGTGCTAAATACGTAGGTGAACATTTTTGGCTCAGCAAATCTCAAGGTCCTTCTGTGAGTTGAAGCTGGAGCCATATGCTGGGTTGTCAGCAGTCTCGTCAAGGAGTGGAGACTGCTGAATCCAGCTGGGAAAATGAACTGTCTGTACTTGAAGAAGGACAGAAGCAGCTAACTATGTAGTATGTTACAGCTGATTTGCAAAATTGTATTCTTTTGCTGGTGGTATTTGCTGCTAGTTTGAAGTTGCCAGATAAATGAAAGAAGTAGTTCATGTTCCAGTGTATAGCAACTGAGAAGTGAGATTTTTTTTTCTTTTTCTTTTTTGGTCAGAAGTTTAAATCTTTTATTGAGTTGAATGTGACAAGCAGCTTGAATGGAGACCTGGCTCTCTGGACTGGTGAATATCTTGGAATACCATATTCATGCATTGTATAATTTGCTAATGATTGTTTCTTGAAGGCATGATACTTTCATATTTCTTTATTAATATATATCATGAGTCTTTGGTTCTTTTGTCCATACAGAATGAAGTAACATGTTAAATCAGGAAAAAGGTAGTCTGTGGTGAAATCTTTAAGAAATAAAGTCAGATGACAAATAGTTTATGAGTTTGTAATGATTAATTCAGGGTAACAAAATAATTGTTTTTTTACTGGAACCTATATTTGGTTCCAGCTAAGAAAAATGAATTGTAGTGGTTTAGTTGTGAAAATCCATTTCTATCTCATTAAAAGTGATAAGCTGTTCAAAAGGCATTGACTTACAGTATTTGAATAGCTTATGTCCTAATTGGTTTTCAGCTGTGCTTTGTCTGGCTCACCTGTGACTTTTTGTTCATAGGCATGTTTTGCTACAAGGTAGGATGCCTGGTAATTTGATTGCTGCCTTTTATGGCATAATTGTTAGACTTATCTTAATGCTTTGCATAAAGAGATTGATTCCATTGCTTTAACATTATGTGCATTTTTAAAAGTTAATGGAATAATGACATGTGGAACTTTTTAAAAGGAAATAAATAGTTTTACAGGACATTAGTAAGTTCCCTAATAAGACCTAGAAGATTGAAGTTAGGGAGTGCAAAGCAAGTTAAGGTTTAATCATAGTTTATGAAATAAATATATGCATCCTAATATGAGTGTTTTGAAATTCAATTATTTCTAAGTAAGTAAATTACCATGCCTGAATAATCAGATTAATATATATCTTTGCACATGTTGATGTTTTGAACATATTACATATTACATTCATGATGTTTTCATATTTTATATCCAGAGTTATTTAATATGTAGAATTTCTAACATTTAGCTTGATTTTCATCAGTAATCCCATGGGAAGGTTCTATAGAATACTCTTTACAATTAATAATTACTGCCATTTGTAATAATGGAAAAAACTTTTATCCTAACAGGATATTCTTTTATGTTCAGCTTGCACAATTTAGGCAAAGGAAGGCTCACTCTGATGGGCAGCATGCACACAAGAAGCAGAAAAAAAAGAAAAAGGTATTAAATGCCAAAGATGAAGAATTGGTACAAGAAGGTCTGGATATTAACCAGTCTCAAGGAGAAGATGCCTCCATATACAGTTGTCAAAGAGGAGCTGCTGCTACATCTGACTTTGCTATAGTGAGGACTTTGCACAGTGATGATATAATCAAGCATGATCCAATATATACTACAGAAGTAAGTATCTCTGGCTTTGGAGAAATATTAATACAATGAGTTTTTACGTAAGACTTTGGACACTACTTCTCTCTGTTCTGCAGTATTACACTGTTGTGAATTTTGATGTATTCCATCTATTTAAAGAGTTTACTCTTTCACAGGGAATGCATATTTTGAAGTCTTTATGCGAAAACTGTACAGTGTTAGTACATCAGGTTTTTAAGCAGTAGTTCATCCCTAATCATGGCATGACTTTCTCACCCTAACTTCACATTTGTTGTTTAATGCACACATAAAGGCTGGGTTGCAAACAAAGTTCTGAAAGTTCAGCCTCCCACCTTTTATAGGTTGTATATACCCAAAATGCCTGAGGTATAAATGTATCAAAACTTGCATAACAAAAGGTTGGTGGCATGTTTTTTATGACTTATAGTATACATTTGGAGGCACACAATGAGAGTAACTACAGGTTGAGAGTCAGAAACAGCAGCAACTCATCCAGGAGGAAAAAGAAGGAAAATCCATTTAGGGAAAGCATTTTTATGCTGGTATGGGGTGTATAGACCAATAAGAAATAAATAAGTAGAACTGTTATTGTTTCACAGGTCAGTCAGGCAGATTTTATTGTTATATGTTGCTCCAGGAGAGATTACAAGTTGAAATCTGAAATCCATTCTTATACTGATTCAAACCTCCTATGAGAAGCAGGAGGAAACAAGATAGACAAAACTTAAGGGTTATATGTGCAAAGTGAAATGAGTGTAATTTTTCAAATAATAACATAAGAATGCTTAACTGTACTTAAATAGTCTTATTATTCCTAATTAGTCTTCCCTGCCGATAAACAGTAAGTAGCTTTCCCTGCATCTAGGAATAGAGGATGTACACCTTCTTTCTGTGCCTCTTCCTCTTACTGATGTCTCTAGCTTGTGCAATGATGTTAGATGCAGGAGTCCCATTGAAATCCTCACTTGTCACACCTCTGATTTGAATCTTCCTGCTGCTGTGATCTCCTTCCTGATTTACCTCATCCTCACGCATGACTTCCTGCTTTCCAGCCTGAATGGCAGGTCTGCCTTGAAGGGAATTCTCTCAGTCTAGCTTTCTTTTTTTTCCAGCTCTGAGCACTGATCCCTTCTGTCAGTAACTGCTATCCCCAACTACTCTATCACTAACCAATACTTACTGGAGATCTGTTTTCTATCCAATCCTGAACTGCCAGTCACCATTGTTGATCCACCTGACCAATCCAAGTAAGGGTATCTGCTCTAGACATACTGAATGCAACCTGAAGGCGGCATTTAACTTATGAAGCCTACTTTCATAAGTTGACATAACAAGGGCAACCAAATCTGTTTTAGGCAGAATACATAGTAACTACACTAGGCTTCTGGTCTATTTATGTTACAACTTCAGAGAAGTCACACAAAACAAATATGCAAAATATAAGCAAACCAGTAAAAGCAGTGTTCATTTATACTCTGCAAGAGTAAATTCAAGGGCATCTCTGAGGATTTATTGAGGAATCATCATGGACAAGTCATTCAGTTTTCATGGGTGAACTATATATTGCCATCCTTTAAAAAATCCAGCTGTGTTTGCCAAGCAATTTTCCTGACCTTGTGGAAAATTCATTAAGGAAGGAAAGAGCAAAACAATTTTACAATTTAGTGTGTACACAGTGTAAGCAAGTGTAAAGTAACACATATTGGTGCAAAAAAAGCACAAAAACCCAACTTCAAATATTGAGTGATGGGATCTGAACTAGCAGTGACTGATCAAGAAAAAGATCTTGGGGTTTTAGTGGACAGCTCAACGAAAGACTTGACCCAATGCACAGCTGCTGTGAAAAGGGCAAACTCCGTGTTAATTAGGAAAGGAATTAAAAACAAAAATGTAAATATGCTACAGATCTTTGGTACTACCGCCTTAGAATATTGTGTATATTGCTTATTACAACACTTTAAAAAGGATATTATTGAGTTGGAAAAAGTGCAGAAAAGTGACCACTAAAATGATGAAGGGGTTGGAACAATTCCTCTGTGAGGAAAAGTCACAGTAACTGGAATTGTTTAGCTTAGAAAAAGGGTAAGGGAAGATATGATAGAGCTGCTTAAAATAATGGAGAGGAAGTGGAGAGGAAGACATTTTTCTCCCCATGTAGCTGATTGGTGACTGAGTTGAGACAGATAAAAAGTACTTCTTCACACAGTGCCTTGTTAAATTATGGAATTCATTGCCATGGGAAGCAGTGATGGCCACCAATATGGCTTTAAAGGGGGATTGGAAAAATTTATGGAGAGGCTACTAGCCCATGCTACCTCCATTATTACTGTCAGTATGCCTCCTGAGTTGATGAGGAATTCTTGTACCCATCCTGCTTGAGAAATAATGGGGTTAGATGGTTTGCCACTATATGAATGGATTGCAGTACTGGATGGACCTTTGGTGTAGGCCAGAATGGCGTACATATGTTACCTGTACCAGGACTGGTGCTTTTTAATTTGTTCATAAATGATGCAGAGTTAGGGGTGAGCAATGAAGTGCTCAAGTTTGCTGACACCAAAATATGTATGGATATTAAAAGGAAAAATGATTATGAAGAGCTCCAAAAGAAAGTAATGTACATTGGATTTAAAAAAATCTTATTTTCACCTATACACTAAAATATGCCTTTTTTATTTTTGTCTTTTCATCTTTCACCTCTTTTAGTTGGAAAGTGAAATTTCCACTACAGCGGATGATTATAGCTCAGAGGTAAGAGTAAAATCAATACTTTATGTGCTATATAAAGAAATTAGTATTGGTTGTTAATGTTGTATTCTGTCTTTAGTATTGTTTTCTATTTTATTTTCATTTTATGTGAGGGTTATGCCTAAATACTAAAATATTTTGGATGTAAATAAATATATAAAGGAAATTAGTGTGGTAGATTTTTGAACTGACTATCTAATTTAAAGGAAACAGTAAAGCATTAAAAAAAAAGATTTAGTGCTTAAAAGCCATTAATTATATGTTAATATTTGCAGTGTAGCTGTGGCCTTATTTATTGATTCCAGATTATAAGTGAAAGTGCCTTTCATTAGAGCCATGCAATGAAATGTGGTAGTGTTGCTTTATAAGCTCTCTGTACTGCCCAAATTAAACTTGTAACATGTGAAATAAGAAATTAGACCCCTTCATTTACACTGGTGCTCATAGTTTCATGAATACCTCAAAGGTGTGCAAGATAGTTAACTCTGTGTGTTTATAATATGCAATTTAGTTAGGTTAAAACACTTGACAACCTCAGTTTCCTGTGTATATTGTAACTTGTGCAAGCAGCAACAGTGAAGAGTGGTAGTGGCTTTTTTTTGTTAAACAAACTTGAGCTGGTTCATATGAACATGACAGGCTGCTGTCGTCTGTTCTAACTACAGCTTGTTGTCATTGACCAGTCTCTGCCTCTTCCTTTATTATACTAAAGTTGATGTGATACAAAAGACAAGTATTGCCAAAACCAATTTTTAAAAAAGAAGCAAAGTTAGTATATTGGCCATTAAGGAAATACAACTTAGTTTGGAATTGACTTCCTTTCATTAAATATCTCTCCTCCCTTCCAAACCAAAAAGAGCTGGTTCTAACTTCAGGATGAATCATACCAATCAACTGGAATGTCTGAGGCTTCTTAGCTGGTCTGACTTCTTAACATAATGCCATGTGTTAAACTTAATGCTGCGGGGTTTGCCCCCTTCTATATTGGCTATCTCACTAGACTTTCCTACAAACTTGAAACTGGTTTTCAGTGATGGCCTGGTTTATGTCTGATCCACTGACCTTAGCGAATCAGCTGTAAATTCCAACCCTTCCTCCACTTCTCAATTACAATCTGAATTAACAACCTTAGAAGGCTGTATTATAGAAAGATTGAACCCAATCCCCACAGCTGTGCCACCCAAACTTGGACATTCATCAGATAATGCATTATCTCTTCTGGTATTATTTGAGATTATTTAACCTTCGAACAATCCCTGCCACCCAGGTTCAAATGACAAAGCAAACTATATCAAATCCCTGATGGAGGATGAATATTCCAAATTGGCTCCCACATGTGCTATAACCCACAGTGCCTTAAATAACCCACAATGGACTGTGGTGATCATTGTTTTGTACCTGTTAAGACAATGGCTTAGTTCAGCCTAGGCCATCTTGCTGCCTCCAGATGTTTTGGGCTTTGGTTCTCAGTTAGTCATAGCTAGTATAGCCAAAGGTCAGGAATCTTGGAGTTGTTATTCAGAACATCTGGATGGAAGCAAGTAGGTAAATGCTGACCTAGTGACTGTGTACTCATTCCATGTTAATACACTGTTAGCATTAGTCAGCAAGTACAGACTCTGGAAATTATTTCACTGTAATACTAAGTATGATTAGAAAATTCCCAGTGAATTTGTCCAAACAAAGCTATAGTTTTGTATCTGAAGTTTATATAGGAAAGATAAACTTGTCTAATGCTGTGAACTTTCTCCCACTTCCCATGTCTACTTTCAACATTATTGTCCTTCAAGGAATACTAGGTGATTAAACTCGATTACTCGCTCTGTGTGTATTTATTGCTGGGAATTTTTAGTGCTCTTTACAACTCTCAGAAAATAAATATTGTTGAGAATGGGAGTGCATTAAGAAAAGCCATGCACGCATATATATCAATACACTATGTAGAGAGTCAAATGATTAAGCCTGGTTTTCCTGAGAAATTGATCTACAGTGCATGCAATTATATTATGATAGAATAAAATTGCATAATAGCAAAGAAATTTTAAAAATCATCTTCTCGGCTTCCAGCTCCAAACCACTGAACTGTACTATAGTAGTCAGATTCCATTGTTGATTTTATGAGGGAAACATACAAAAGCATGTGCAATTCCAAAAGTGACATAAGGGGCATGTTCACATGCAATGGTGTTAATCTAGAATTTGCCACTTCATATGCTTATCTTGAATATGCAACCTCAGATTAGCCCAATCATAGGCTATTTTGTGATGCAGGAACTCAAACACTATTTATTATTTGTGAATTAAGCAATTCATAGTTAACTAACCTCATAGGTTAATTAAGCCACTGTTCTTTAAGCCACAGTGTCCAGGTTTGCATGTCACAATATAAAGTCTGATCAGGCTCATCAGAGGTTGTACATTCAGAATGGCTGCAGCCTATTTGCTCCATTGTAAGTCTCTGAATGCTGAAGCTTCAGTTCATCCAGTACAACATGGCAAGAGCAATGGAAATCTTTTTCTTCTTCCTGCATATAGTAGTGTTTTGAAGCAAAGAGAAAGGCACTGGAAGAACTTACCAGAATGCACTTTCCTTCACTTCCATACCTGCTTATTCAACTTTGGAGGGCAGCCATTTATGAGGAGAAAGGGGAAGAATCATTGTCTCCGCCTTCTGAATGCTGACCTCAGGGGTGTGAATGCCCTGTATCCTGTGGCCCCTCAGACAATTTACAGGCCATAAGATTCTTCCCTCTGGGATTTCCATGCCCTAAAGATTTGATTGGGGGAGTGTTTTTTTATATTGGAAACACCCCAAAAGTACAGTTAATGAATCTATAGAATTTTATTTTGCATTCTTGTAGCAACAATTGAAGCGTATTCTGATTAAGTCCTGGTACATCTCATAGGAAGTGTATGGACAAATATGGCATCACAACACCTGAGATAATTGGGGGATACAACAATTAAAGATTCACTTTCATAAAGTTCAAACAATAAAGTTCAAAAGAAAAGAAGTATTTTTTGTAGCTGTCCCTCACAATAACATTTTGGCCACTGCTGATACCGGTAAACTTCACATTCTGACATGACTACACAAATGATCAGGGCTCACACCAGATAAATCCTATGATAACAGGAGCATCTCTTGCTTTATTTATATTTTGCAAATATTGTCATAATAGCAAATGCTTCATGGAATTTGGCGCTATTTATAATTCTGACAAAATATTTGATGTTATTAATATTAGTATTAAATATATTAATATATATATTTGCAGTAGCTTAATTATATTAACATAAAACTGTAATACTGACCTCTTATGGTAGTAGGTGTTAATCGTGTGTGTGTCTGAATCATATGTAAACTGATCATATAATTTTAACCTGTTTTATGCCTTTAAGGGTGCAATTCTGTGCATATTCAGACAGAAAAAATCCTGCATCTCTGAACATTCCCAAGAGAGTGCGGATGACTAAGGAATGTTGAGAATTGTAGGATCTTTTTCTGTCTAAGAATACAAAAAATTGTGCAATAAACATCTTGAATAAACATTTTGTATACTAGATTGATACAAAAGATGTGTTCCAGTAGATTTTCTTTAAATAAAATGAATCTCTATTATGCAGTGTAAAAACATGCAGATAAATGCTACCCCACATGTAATGGTTAACTCAGGCATCCAGGTTGGAGTTTAAGGACAGTCATAAAAATAGAGTTATTATAACCATTAAGTGCCATTTTAGGTGACATAGAAATCAAATAATTAAATAATTGTTACACAGACACTAGGTGAGATTTATCTCCATTATTAGATAAATAGGAAGTGCTTTAGTTAGTATATAGGAAGAGAGGCAAACATGCCTTCTTGATGGCAGCACTATTTATTAAGTGCTTTTCTCGAAGAACATCCAAATCCTTTGAAGTATGAGAGAACGCTACTTTTCAAAAACTGAAACCTTTGCACATACAAATACAGCATTTGCTGACATCAGTTAGGATCTGATTCATAACATAGAACGACCCTGCTGTGAGAGGTAAGAATATGCATGTGAGAAGGAAGATACAAGAAGTCTGCCATCCCATAACCTGATAGAGAGGCTGTTTAAATATTGTGCTTTGAAAGATTATTTGGAATTGGCAGCTGCAAAATATTTAATTTTCTATCATATCCAAAATAGTTATTTATTTCTAGCAGTTCTTGGAAATATTAAGTACAGAACAGTTGAATAGATAGAGTTACAACTTGAGATGGGGTAATGTGGAACAGAAGGCCATGAACAATAATAAGACAGTTTGGTAGACAGATTTAATTGTTGGAATTCTATGTAATTTCTTGTTTGAGGCTGTATTAAAATTGCTATACCTCAGATATCTAGCATTTTATGATGAGTTAATTCTTTACTGATTTGTGCAGTTCTTTGTATTTACCAGCACTGTTTTATGTTGTTCAGTGCTGCTAATACAGAAGTAAGATCTTACATACTCACAAAACAGATGGTAACTGCACGTTTTAATAACTTTCCATTCCTCACCACCATGTCCAGCTTTTTTGGAACCTTGACTGTGTAGCTGTTTCCCTAGTATAAGATAGCTCAATCTTTTATGGGCCTTTCAGCAGTGATTTAATCTTATGGTGTGTTTTTAAAATCTGGATTACTTAGAATGTTGATATTTGACCCTTTCATGTTCCTTCATTCTGATAAATATAAAGGCTATAATTCTTAGGATTAATTAATTTCCATAGAAGCACCCAAAATACATTGGTAATGTGTATTAGAAGTCTGTCTACTAGTAAAAAATACTTCAATATATGCATATAATGGAAAATTTGGACTATATTCTGATAATAAATACATGCATTATCTTTGGAAGGGATACATTGATGTCATGTTTTATGTGGACATACAGAATAAATGATACTCGTTGATTTGAAATGCTGCAAAAATGCAAGTTGTTTATCCAGAATCTTCGTCCTTACTTCAGACTTTTGAATGAGGAAGCAGACTATAAAAAATGGAAGTGTTCTTATTTATTTGTGGAATTTTTATAGTATTTTTCCTTTTTTTAAAAAAATCTGATTCATAAAGTAAGATCAACAATAAAACAATGAATAACTAAAAGTAGCTGGCAATGCAAGTGCTAAGGAAATGCCCAGACAAACAGAAATTCCAGTATGCCCTTGTGTATGTTTTGTAAGAATGCAGCTGTATGGGGGCCTATAAGCTATGGCCTACATTCAGAGTGTCTTTGTTGTTGTTCTGTACTGCCCCATAGTCATAGATTTCTAAGCAGGTAACAACAATAAATAAAACACAACAAAAATACAGGAAACAATTAAAACAAACGTAAAAATTAACGTATAAAACTTAAAAGCCAAATTTAAATCAAATGTAAAAATCTGTAATAGCTTATACAAATTAAATAATAGGACCTCTTAAAGCAACTAACATAAGCCTTAATATAACAGTAAACTAATAAAATGCCCTGTGGTAGAGGACGTATTTAACCAAAAAGACATTACATTTACACCAGGCAGGCCTCAATAAGGACCTTGTTCTATATGGCAAGAGTGGGGGGGGGGGGAGGGGCAATCTTGAAAAGGTCCTTCTTCTTGTTGTGACTTGCTGAACCTTTTTGGGAGTGCAGTTGGAGGCAGGCCCCTGATCTTGATTATAGTTTCCAACTAGATTGTGGTGGAGAGAGACTTTCCAGCAGGTATTATGTCCCCAAGCCATGTACATGATGTCATTGATATGCAAAGCTGCCTGGCTGACTGTCTTCCTTTATATATACTCCTTTGAACCTTGAGAACTTAAGTCCTTAGTGGCTGTTCTTCAGTCAGTGGAATGGCATGTGATAGTGGTGCATAAGTGGACCTTCTTTGTGGTGCCATGCATGTTTGGAACACTCTCCTTCATATGACCTGAAAGCCAGAAACTACAGTATGGTTGAAAAGACTTCTCAAAAACACCTGTTTACACAGTCTCCCCATGACCAATGAGATTCCGTTATCATCCTGTTTATTGTTATAATAATGTAATGTTCTTAACCATTTTAATTATTTGGTGCATTTATGTTTTTTATATTATATCATATTTTAATATAAACTGCTTATGGGTGTTATTTTATCAAGCATAAATAAATAACTGTCAGCTGAAACACTCCAGACCCCACCTGATTCTTGATGAAATGATCATGCTATATAGTTTGTTCTCTTCTGCATTACAGCCCAGTTGATAATGGCATGGTAAGCAAGGTCATCCTTTCTGAAAACAGACTGGGAGGGGGACTATGTCTTACCACTCAAAAATATTAACTGTCAGAATGATCTGTCTGCATAAACCAAGAAAACAGAAAAATATAATTAGACAAAACCAGTAATTGGGAATCTAAGCTGAACACTTACCTGGGAGTAAATCCAATGGAAAAAGAGCTGCTAAGTAAATAGACGTAGGACTGCACTGTGCGTTACATTTTACATTATAATGCATCTAGAAATTATTTTATACAGGTAAATGGTTGCAGCTTTTTGACAAGAACAGCTGTATCTGAAGATTGTATTAGGGTACAGTATTTAAAATTCATGGCACTGAACACTAAAAAGACTAAATGGTTTACAGTGAGAAATGCATCGAGATTGTTAACAATAATTTTTACATGCATGCCATAGAAGTTTACTATCTTATAATCTGTACTTATATACAAATGCTTCTTCTATAATATGTCAAAAACAACATTGAGTTTAAAATTGAATTAGGTTTAAACATTGAGTTTAAAATTACCATGTTATTGCCACTCTTATGGAGCAAATTATACTAACATAGCAGGTTTCCATAGCAATGTACTAAAGTGCTATCTCATCTGAGGAGAATGGAATGTTTTAAGTATCCTCACCTTGAGCAAACCTTAAACAGTGCTGGGCTGCTAAGGAACTTGGATTGGTTTAGGAAGAAGAATTTGGATTTGGAGAGAATTTTTCTGAGAATGAGATGCAGCATTCTGTGACACGACTGGAGATGATGGAGAGTGAATTGTCTGGAAAGCAACAAGAGATCGATGAGCTAAACAGAGAGCTAGAAGAAATGAGGGCAGCTTATGGTACAGAAGGATTGCAACAGGTATAATTACCTTATGTTGCTTTCTGCATGCTTTGTGGTCATACACACAGTCCTTCAGTATTGCCTGTCATGACTGAAGAAACTGAACATGTGAAAGAATGTTTGTTTCAGTGGTGTTTGTTTTTATTATCACTTTATCACACTATCATTTTTGCATCAATTTATTTTACAAAAGAGTCTCTTTTCCATCTTTCCATCTGATTGTTTATGAGTTTTGCTCTTGGTTCTATGAGAGTAAACAACAGGAACAATTATCTTCTTCTGAAAATACGGGGTTTTTTTTTCAGAACATAGCTTATTTTCTGTATAAACTGTGTGCACTATGCATCCCATGCACTTCAGATAGCCATTGTGCATGTGTGCTTTTAGGCCACATTGGTTTCCCTGCTTACATTACAGATGAAGGTGACCATGAGAACAATTTGCTTGGTCATGTGTTCATCCTGTCAGAAAGGGTACCTGTTAATGCTCCATTTCTCGTATTTTTAGTGTTAGTACAAACATGCTGAATGAAGATATCAAAAAGTCATGGTGACAGTTCACTTCTAGAGAAAGAATGGTCATGCATGTGAACAGACAATTTACAGATATGCATTGAATGGTAGCCTCTGCCTGTGTATAGAAGCTATGGCCTGTGACCTGGTGTTTCTGTGAGCCAACAGATAAAAGGAAGCACAATTGTAAGCCAATTTAAATCAACAGGGAAACTTAAACGGTGCTGAAGAAAAACAGTTTATTTGCAAATACAGTCACGTGTTTAATTATTAGTACTATTGCTTTTTGAGTATGACTACTTTGTCAGAGGCAATAGTCACTACTTGCCTAAGTGCTTTGTAGTGTTTGGTTTCTGTGTACCCTCATAGCATTGGGGTCAGAAGTAGATTGTACAGAAGTAGATTGTACACATTTCTGTACATAATTGTGAACAGCCACAGCTGCCTGTTGCATTTAATTAAAGCATTGATTCTTTGTATTGTGCATTGTCCCACTAGATGTATATTAGTACAGTTATTTGGACCAGTAGCAGCTATCATTTACTTTTTGTTTGGTTGGTTCTGTTGCCTTGTACTTAAGGAAGTGTCTGAAAGGAAATAATATACAAATGCTCATTAACATTACGTTAAGCCACCCTGTGAGTAAGCCGCCATGGACTGGTTGTTCACTGAGCAACCCACACTGTACCCAAAAGACTATAAAGTTTACATTAGTTGTTCTCCCCCTGAATCTTCCATCTGTCTTTGAGACATATCCCAATGGTGTTTGTGGGAGAACCTGTTTTCCCTCCTTGCCCCCATCCTTATCCCTTTCCCCTTTCCTTTTCCTTAGCAAAGGGTGAAGGATTTATATAATCTGAGAGAAACCAGTGTTTGTTTTGGATTTTTAGTTTTGCTTGGGGTTTTGTTTTTGGTTTTGTTTTTTTGAGCCTCAGAAAAGCACAAGGGTTTGGGGGGGGGGTTGCCCTTGTAAATTATGCAACTGTACTCAACTGTATTTATGATTTTATTTGTAAGTCTTTTGCAAGTGTACAAGCATCATCTCACAGTTGTCCAGTATGTGTAGTCTTGCCTGGTCAATTTCTTTGTCTGTTTCAGCTGTCAAATGGTGTAGCAAATAGGAGTAGGTTAACAAAGTGAGATGCGCAGTTGCCAGGGACCGACTGCTAAATTATTAATCAGAAGGCACTGATAGAGTGGAAGAAGCTTATTGATTTTAATGTTTACTACACTTAGAGAAAATTGATCTGGATAGAAGTATACTGGCTTGCAAAGAGGCTGGCAGCTACTGTTTTTTACTGTGATAACTGTCAGTTCCCATGTTCATACAGAATTATTATGAGGCCTTAAAATTGTAAGCTAATAATCCAGCAGGTCTTATATGAGAGGAAAGGGATGGAGAGTTCCAGTCCTTACTCCAACTCAGTTTTACCACTCCCATTTTCTATTTTCATTTCCCACTAAACTCCCATCACTAAGAGTTTGCAACTGGCAAAGGAAGGATGTGGTTGGGGCCAAACTGAACACAGTATTCAAAAAATGAAGTAAGAACAATTTTCTGCCCAACTGAAAAGCTGCATTTGGGATGGGGGTGGAGAGTTAGAGAAGGAAGCAGTGCTTCAGATTCTCATCAGGTATGTGTTTCATATTCCAAAGTCTTGTCGGGGGAGAAACAAAAGACTTCATGTATTTCATTTTTTATTTAACGTTGATGCTTTATACTATATTTTTTATATTTTCAGCATAATATTTTAAGTATTGCTTTTCAACTGTATGCTCCATTTATCCTTACAATTATTGTAGACTATTGCATTAAATTCTTTCAAGAGAGTATTTAAAATTAAGCAGTTCCAGATTCTGTTATATCTAGTCAAACAAGCAATCTGTTGTTGGTGTAGAAAGAAAGTATGATTCCAGAGACTGTTCTGTGTTATATTAAACATATGTTAATGTGTTTCCTGTAGAGAAAACATTGGATATTAAAAGATGCTTGAATAATACTAAGAACAGAACTTTTGAAAGACTGCAATATACTAGTGCAGAATCAAACAATTTTTATAACATCATTTTAAGTGTCCACCTGGGAAATGAAGTCCTTAGTGAAGAATCCAATATTCCGTTGCACTTTTGTATTTGAAAAGTCTTGTGTGCAAACTTTTAGATGTTGGAAACTCAAGAACAACATGTATCATTAGCATTTCATCAGAATACATATAGATAATGTATAGCTATATTTAATAATGTTATTATTTATACATTGCCTTTAGCTACAAGAATTTGAAGCTGCTATCAAAAAAAGAGATGATATTATCACACAGCTTACTGCAAATCTACAACAAGCAAGGAAAGAAAAAGATGAAACTATGAGGGAATTTTTGGAATTGACAGAACAGAGTCAAAAATTGCAGATTCAATTTCAGCATGTAAGTTATAGGCAATCACTCTTTATTAACTTGAAGGATAAAGAATCGGTTTAAGCAGTTCAGATATCTGACAGAAGTGCTAAAATACATACATGGCAATTTTGTCAACTTCTCTTTCTTTAAAAAATCCTACTTCTGAGACATCAACTTGATATTGGCTATGATATTCAGAGATCCTCAGACCATGGCTTAGTTTAGTGCAGCCTTCCTCAACATGGTTTAGATTTATAAAGCCTTGTAAAGACTGGTAGATAATGGGCCTTCTTTCAAACCTAATGAACTGTGATTTGAGTGAACCTTCCACCAGGATTTCAAATTAGAATGAAAACTGGCTTGGAAGGTCCACTCAGACCAGAGTTTGCTACTTTGAACAGAAGGATAAACTATGATTTGATCCACAGGTTATGATTCTTTAAGCTGAGAGCATGGGAAAAGCTGGAAGCTGAACATGAGGAAAAAAGGAGCATGCAGGTACAGGGCTTGTTCCAAGTCCTCTAGGCCACAGTTTAGAATACTAGAAATGTGATTACTGCTTCTTGGGTTCAAGGAGTAGTAGGGAAAACATCTGCTTTTGGAAATAAAGATCACAATTCTGACCATGAAAACTTGATTAGGCTGTTTCCAAACTGTGCCCTTTCATAAATTTCAGGACCCAGTATCAAATCAACAGTGCCAAGATACATATCTTGATAAAATAGAAGTAGTATAAAATAAAGTTTAAAAATGAACACCTCAAGTATGAGAACAGTCATTTGAAGATGGGAAAATGGAAGATGATTGATGCACTTGAGGATTACTTTGTTTCTATCTTTATCCTAATCCTCACACACGCATTTTAAAAATATATATTTTTCCTAAGCTGTTTTTGAGGCTGGGTAGGAATTTTTAGCTGTTTATCTAGTCTTATGTCTGACAATTTTAGGTGCATTTTATCCAAGTTCCTTCTTGAAACTGGAAGCACATATCCCTCTTAATTCTAGGGAAAAGAGTATTTTGAATATTTGTTAACTAAGTTTATAAGAGTCATTTATTTTTATTCCTATTTCTTGGAGGACTTGCTGGAATTACTAGAACCTTAAACCCTGTCCAGGGTTTTGCCTGAATGCTTGAGAGTTTAAAGTGAAGCTCTTCATGTATTTGCGGACCTTGCCAGCACAACTTGAATTGTGGAGGGAAGGGCAAGCATGCACAGCTCCAACCCTCAATGCACTATAAGCCTCCCACGCATTCACATGAAAGCCTTAATGGAGCTCTTGTTTTATATTGCAATGTATATATCTTACAGATAAAAGTGAAGAACTAACTTATAGCTTCAAGGAGAATCATGTAGTCTTGGCAGATGGAATTACATTAAGTAGTACTCCAAAAAAAGCTGTTGCACCCATGCATATATTTAATACAGTTGCTAGATATTAGCAGTTTGCAGTTAGATTTAATCATCACCTCATGATAACTGCTACCTGGTTTGCACATCATATTGCAATTTCTAGACACTTAAACTCAGAGGTTTCCAGGGACAATTATGCTTTCTCCCATTTGCTCATCATTTCTTCTTTTAATTAACAACCTAGGAATGCAAATTCCTGAATTGTTTCTTGCTGGGTTAAACTCAGAAACTCTGAGTTGTTTATGGGTTAAATCTTTCAGAATTAACCTGGAGTCATGGAAAAATTTTGGATTAGTTCTGGATTTCCATGTTCACATGTCACAAAACAGGGGAGTTCCTGGGTTATTAAATGAAAATCGAAATAATGAGTAATGGAAGGCACTGTGCTCATCACTTTGCTTGTCTCCAGCAATTCCTTAGTTGAACAACTGAGGAATTACAGTGTGGCATGCCAGGTAGGTATGTGACTGTATTGCCATAATATTTTTGCTATTGCAGGATGTATATCCTAATCAATGCACTCTTTCTTAGGACAAATCCTTCTGTCTCATGGTGTCCCAGATGAGCATAGTTTGCTTCTCACTTACAGAGAATCTGAGAGTAACAAGATTTTTGTTCTAACAAGTGTGTGTTGTCTTCATGGGAAAGAAATTGATACTTTTCTTTCTTTATACTTTGACATATGCTATTAAAGCAGTTTAAAATAATATGCTGTTTTTTTCTTAAGTTGCAGGCAAGTGAAGCATTAAGGAACACTAGTCATAGCAGCACTGCTGCTGACTTACTCCAGGCTAAACAACAGATACTTGCATATCAGCAGCAGCTAGAAGAACAAGAGCAGTTATTGAAGAATTATCAGATTAAAAACAAAGACTTTGAAATGCAGGTTTCATTTCTGCAGGAAAGAGTCACTGAGTTTGAAAAGGTATGTCTCCTATTCAGTTAATTGATCGTGCTTTCTCTATAGTTATTCTTTAAGAAAGATAAAATCTTTTAGTATGAATTTTGCCTAGTTGCTATAATGTTGGGTATTTTATAATTTAGATCAAAGAATGGCATACCTAACCTTGAAGAATACAAAGATAGACATATTTATAAGCATCTTTTTGCTACAAGTGTGCATAAGGTTCAGAAGCATCTCGAACCAATTCATGCTGATTAGAATTAATAATATTAAGAACAAAGTGAATCTGGATCATGGCTAAGATTCATAAGTAATTTGAAGATCCAGAGGCATATGTCTACAAAAAGTTGCAATATTTCTCTCCAAGTTTTCTGTATAAAATCCAGTTCTTAATACTTTTGATTTATACTTGCTGTTTGAGTCTCTATTGAGTGTTAGTTCTTTGTTTGTTAGTAGTTATACATAGGCATTGTCACTTTCCACATTCCCTAACCCTTCCAACCCACCCCCTCCCCAGTTGCATAGACTTTGATTTTAATTGTATTATTTCCTGTTTTGGTCTGTATCTAATATCTGTTCTTTGTGTGGGGCAAGGGTGTAATTATTCTGTATACTCACCTAAGTTGCAATTGTATTGTGATGGCAATAAGGACCTGAACCTGGAATCATACAGTCATTCAGTGAAGAACAGGAGTAACAGGGGGTGGGGGGATTTTTCTGCCTCCTAGTCCTTCTTTCTTTGGATTTTTTTTACTAGGTAGTCTATTTTGCTCATTGGAGACAAGTGGTATCACAGTAAGACATATTGTGGCCTCTCCAGTCTGTCCCTCTCCCTGTTGCTTGAAATACGTCTTTCACCCATCTCCAGGGTCACTTTCCCAGCCTCAGAGCTGTCCGGGTAGCCCCTTCCATGTCAGCTGTGAGGGGGTGAGGAATCAGAGCTCCAGGTCCCAGTTGGGAATCTGAAATATCCTATGACTCTTTGGTTGCTGTCTAGGATCCATAGGATTGTGTCATCCATCGCTTCAAACATGCACTGGTAATCTATACATTGTCTTCAGAAAATAGACCCTGTGACTTGAAAATAATTTCTGCTTTCAAAAAGTAATGTAGAGGCTTAAGAAATCAAAGCAGTTTGTTTTTATTACAGGAAAAATGCAACACTGAAGGAGATGCAACTAAGAAGAAATTACAGGAGAAAGAAGCAGTTATTGAAGAATTGGAAGCAAAAGTTCTAGAAGAGGAAGAAAATAGATTTATTCTTCAGAAAACAATATCAGCTGCTGAGAAATCACTAGAGGAAATAAAAGAAGAGCTTTTTCAAAAGAACCAAGAGCTACATAATATGAGAGTAGATCTAAGCAATTCTAAACAAAAAGAAAGACAGTGTTCTGATGAAATAAAACAGCTAATGGGAACTGTGGAAGAGCTGCAAAAGCGATGTCACAAAAATAGTCAACATGAAAATGACATTGTAGAAAGAATGGAACTTGAAACACAAAAGAGACTTGCAGATCTTAGGGCAGAATTAGAGGAAGTACATGGACAGCAGATTGTACATATGAAGCAAGAATTAGTTAGAGAACATACAACCGAGATTGAAAGACTTCTTGCCCAACAGAAAGCAGATCTGGAGAGAACTTTGAATTTACGCTCTGGTAGTACTAATGAAGACCAAATAAACTTAATGAATATTGCAATTAATGAGTTAAATCTGATGCTGCAGGATGCTAATTACCAGAGAGAAAAAGTAAGGCAAGATTTGTCCCAACAGCTTGATCTGTTATCCTCTGAAAAAAGTTCCCTACAAAGTCAAGTTGAGGATCTTTGTCAAGAGCTGAGCTTTTCCAGAGAGCAAATTCAGAGAGCCAAGCAGACTATTCATGAAAAAGATTCCAAGTTACATGAAGTAGACATGTTGCAAATTACTGTTGAAGAACTAAAAGCCCAGCTTGCTTCAGCTTCTGAGATTAAGGCGGAATTAGAATTAAAACATGAAGCAGAAGTTACAAATTACAAAATAAAACTTGAAATGCTAGAAAGAGAAAAGGATGCAGTTTTGGACAGAATGGCTGAATCTCAGGAAGCTGAACTAGAGAGATTGAGGACTCAGCTTTTGTTTAGTCATGAAGAAGAGCTATCAAAACTTAGAGAAGATTTACAGCAAGAGCACAAAATAAACTTTGAGAATTTTAAAGAGAATATGGGTATTCAATCTAAACAGCAGTTAGATGATTTGAAAAATGAAATGAGCAAGAAAATAGAAGCTCTGCTGTTGGAAAATGACAACTTAAAATTAAAACAGAATCATCTCATGCTAGAAATATCAAGGCTAAAAGATTTGCATCAGTCTAACATAAATTCTAAAACTGAAGAAATGATGCTTCAGTTCCATGACCTCCAAAAGGAGATAGAAGTTCTTAGACAGGAAGAAAAAGAAAAGGGTACACTTGAACAGGAAATACAAAAGTTGCAACTTAAAACAGAATTATTGGAAAAGAAAATGAAAGAGCAAAAGGATAGTCTTCAAGAAAAATGCACATTGCTTGAAACACGAAATAATATTCTTGAAGGTGAAAAAAGTGCCCTGCAAGAGACGTTAAAAAAATATGTTGTTAGCAACACAGAAGAAAGCTTGAACTTCACTGGTGGCATGAATTCCAAATCAGAAGAGTTTAATTTGCAAGAAAGAATAGAAAATCTGATTGCTGCAAATCAGAAGCTTATAAAACAAGATATTGAACATAAAGAGGAAATTGAGAAGTTAAAAAATTCCTTTTCATTTATGGAGAGAAACTTTGAACATAAATATCAAGAACTCCAAGACAAACATGCTGCCCTGCAAAAGGTAAAATTAGATTTAGAAGAGAACAGAAGCAAGCACGAGGTTGAATATAAAGCCAAGCTCCAGGCTTCAATGGAAGAGATTGATGGTGATATGCCAGTAGTGAAAAGTCAACATATGGTTGTCCATGGTAAGAAAGAAAGACTTTTAAGATCAGAAACATTTGAGATTGAGGAGGTTGTAGAAAAAGACACAACAGAATTGATGGAAAAACTTGAGGTCACTCAGCGTGAGAAGCTAGAACTCTCACTGAGACTTTCAGATCTTTCTGATCAATTAAAACTGAAGCACAATCAAATTTGTCAGTTGAATGAAGAAGTTATATCTCTAAAACAAGATAAAGAGCACATTTCAGCAAGGTGTAAAGAACTAGAACAGGTAGTTAGCCACAGGCTGGAGCAGAATACAAACTCTTGTAAACAGAAGGCAAAATACTCCAAAGGGGAGTTACAGAAAGGCTATTCTGAAGTTTGTGAACCTGAAAACCTTGTTTCTGATTCAAACAAAGAATTTGATAGCACAATAAGAAAAAGAAGCGAAAGACTGACTTCAAATAGTTTGACTCATCAAATTCCAGTGGAAGAAGCAGTTCAACCAAAGCTGATTTCAGGACACAAATCACCTTCGGATAATTTTCACCAAATGAATGATGATTTATTAGTTAACTTTTCATGTGATAGCCTTGTGCAAGGTGAAAATGAGCTCCGGAAGCAGTTGGACATGCTGAAAGCCGAACAGGTATTTATAGCAACCCATACAATACACCTTTTGCAATACATGCTTCTCACAGATGGTAAATATGTCTAATAGTGAAATTTTATGCATGTTTATGCATAAGTAAATCTCTCTGATTTATGTGTGGCTTAATTATCAGGTAGTATTTTTAAATTCCAACCTTAATGTTGTAGAAATTTAATCCATCATATAACTCAATATAGAATGTTGAGTGATTTGACGATTAAATGATCAGGATTGTCTGTTAAGAGTATGTGTGTATCTCCCTAAAATGTTAAGAATGTACAAATATGCTTTAAGCTGCTATTTAAAAACAAAAATATTATTAATATGTATTCCCCTATCTTCAAGTTGCATGTTTGTGGGACTTTAACCATCCAGTCAGTATAGGGAATACAAAAATTGTGTGGTTTGAGAGACATGGAATGCCCATGTAAACTTTGTATACCTCCTATACATCAATGAATAAGGGGGTGGAGACTGCTCATATAATATTTATGACAAAGAATAGCTTTAAAACAGCCTTCCCCAACCTGTTACACTCCAGATTTTTTGGACTGCAACTCTCATCTTTCTCAGCCAGTATGGACAATAATCAAGAATATTGGAAGTTGTAGTCCAAAACATCTAGAGGCCAGCAGATGGGCATGCCACAATTTAAGAAAGAACCAGGCAAACGGGAAAAGTTTCAGAGGAGAAAAAGAATATGCACAGGGACTGGAAACAAAGGTCTATGAGGAGAGTTGGACATGCTTAGCTTTGAGAAAGAAGACTGAGAGAAGATACGGTACTTGAAAGATTATCACACAAAGGATGGCCAGGATTTCCTTTCAATCATTCCAGAATAATGGCCACAATAATGGCCACAATAGGAAGCCAAATTCTAGTTGAATATCATGAAAAACTCTTGACTGTTAGAACAATACAACAGTGAAACCACTTATTTAGGGAAGTTTTGGGCATTTCCACACTGGAGACTTTCAAGAGGCAGCTGGAAAGCCATCTATTAGAGATGCTTTAATGCAGGAGCCCTTCATTGAGCAGAGATTTGGGCCTGATGGCCTCATTGGCCCTATCCAACTCTGCTGTTTTATGATTCTATGATAGCAGCCTCCAGAATCCCGAAGCAGCACTCAGTAGCTTTTGTCAGTAGCTTTCACATGTCTGAGGCAACTTAGAACATCCAGCCTTCTCAGCAGCTTTTGAGTTAGATCATTCCAACTGCCAGCAAGGTTGGGATCCTCATCTTTTTGAGAGGGGGAATAAGCTCCTCAGGAAAGAGGAGTAAACAATTACTGATGGCTGGAGAGGTCTACTGTTGAGTGACTGTCAGGGAGGCAAGATCCAACAGGAGGTGGTGCCTCCTGTTGACTTCTGAGAAGGAGGTGGGAAGAGATGGCATGTTCAGTCAACTCAGCATTCCCAAGAGCTTCCACAGAGTGGATTGGGCACCCCCATCTCTCATGAGGAGCCAGGAACTAGTGATCTCCTCAGTGGTGCTTTCCCATCCTTGAATGGCACTGCTAAGCTGATTGGGCACATCTGCCTCTTCCTACCTCCTGCTCAATAGTGGAAATGGAAGCCAAAGATCCACTGCACTACTTGGTCCTCAAGTACTGCTGCTGAACAGATCAGAGATAAAAGGAGATGGCGTTGCCCAGTCAGCTCCCTTCTTGTGCTTTCGCTTAGGAAATGTTCTCCAGTTGTATGCAGAGTCATACAAGGAAGTTCTCTTTTTCTTCTTTGTCCCTATACTCAAACAAGGCTTCTGCTTTGAGGTCTGGGAGCTCAACTTCCAGCCTTGGCTGCAGCAATGTACAGGAGACGGCCTGCTGCAAGATGGCAGTGGGCAGCTCCTGGCACCTTGCTGCAGCTGAGACTGGAAACTTTCCCTGTTGCACTTCAGAGCACAAGCCCGGTTTATGAAATGGGGACTGTCTTGAAAGCACAGTTTTTACTGTCAGAGACAGGAGACTCATTCCTCCACATGGTTTCTCGTGGAATACCACTTGGAGGATCAAGGGGAAAGGAAGGAGAGAGAGGGAGCAAAGTACCTACAAGGAGTCAATCATCTGTTCAGCTCATCATGGGTACTTCATAAAACAGTCAGTCCATCATGATTTATTGCCAGGTTGTGTTTTGTCATGTGAATGCAGCCAATATCTCTCCCTCACTCCATTTTTTAAAAATTACTTTTGTGCATTGCTTATGAAAACATTCAGTTTGCTTCAACACTTAGTGATGTCATTGCTTTACTGGAAACTCTCCAATAGATTCAGCTTATATGACTAATCAAAGAGCAGCAGAACAAAACTGTAATCAGAAGAAAACTCTGCCTTAGTAGCATTGCCTTACAAAGCAATTTATCAGGATATAATCTTGGCATCAAACCCCCAAATTGGTATTTTTGGTCTGAAAGGTCATGCTTAATATATTTTATGTAATCATATTTAATCAAATAGTAGAGATGTGTAATGATTCTGTATTTTTTTAATGCTGGCTTCCTTGGCTAAGAAACAGATGAGCATCACCCCCTAGAATTGGACACAACTGTCATGGGGGAATTTTTACCTTTTTACCTTTATGTCTGATAGTAGGCAATGTGATGTGTGGAATGTTCTGTAATGATAAATTTACTTTACAAGACTTTACTTGTAAGGATTGCTACTTGGTGTGTTAAAAGTAATTTTGCTTGTCATTTGAGTATTTTTGCACTTTTGCATCACTGAAAAATTGAAGTTTCTTGATGGTTTTTCTTTTTTGTGAAATTAAGGCAGGCATCACCTCTGGCCCAGAAGCCAAATCTGCCACTCTTGGGAACCCATCCTGGCTCATTGGGGTTTCCCTTCCTCCAAACCACTGATAGTGTAGAAGTGTTCTGGTTTTTGTGCAGATTTGCCTCACTTTAAAGGGTTGATATGCCTTTCCTCTGTCTTCATTACTCACAGTAAGAGCTTTAAACTAAGAAATGCTGGTATTTGGGGTATTTTGACCATAGCCATTTGCCTTTATCTCCACCCACCCCATTTTCAAGGATAGGCAACTATAAGGAGACTTTGTTAAGGAAAGTGTCCTCTAGTCTCCTTACAGTTGCCTATCCTTGAAAAAAGTGTTAGAACAAAGTTCTGTCAGTTGAGCTGTCACAAGATTTCCCTTGGAAGCTAGCGGAGAGCCAGAATTGTTTTTGGCAAATTGTAAAAAAAAATTACAATTGTGCAGAGTAGTACAATTTGAATTTTCTGTATAAATAGTGCACATTAATGAGGAGACTGTTGAGAAATAATTGCAGAGATATGTTAATATCAAATCTTTGTTTAGAAACATAGAAACAGAACGAGTCAGAAGAGGCCTCCTGGGCCATTTAGTCTGACCTCCGGCACCAGCCGGCTCCACTCACGACATGCCCACC